GAATGAAATATTAACCTTGTCCTTTTGTTGCAATAATTGCACATTTTGCTCCTGGCATTATCTGGCTTCTGTTATTATTATTCTGGGATCTTATCCTTATTTCTGTGAAAGAGCCCCATTCTATAACTGTGTCTTCAGTCAGCTCTACATACACAAGAAGCCGCCACTGAAGTCCTTAGTAATCGTTACCTTTTAGATGTACTTTATCATATGCTCTGTCCCGTGGGCTCTGGCTGGTCATTTTCTGTCCTTAGGTAGTATGACACTTGGAGTCGCTGGTACCTTTTGTCACCCTGCTTTTACTCCTCTTGTACAATAGGCACTGTTTCCTCCAAGTTCCTAGGAGCCATCCTAGCCCTAGAGTGCTCCCACTACCAAACTCTCCCGTATGTAGTGCTAGACAGCATTCTCTGTGATTGCAGTGCTAGGTGTGAAAATGAGCCCAAATCATCCTTTTGTGTGCAAAAGGAAATCATCACCACAATAAGGATTCTCTGCCTGTTATATCCCAGCCAAGGTTCTTGGCTAAATGGGACACAGGAGAGCTGCTTTCCCGGGAGATATCTGCCTTGTAATAATGGTATATCATCAGCAAATTGTTTGGGGTTCAATTTTTTAAATAAAAATGTTCTTTTAAAACATGCTTTGCTTTAAATACATTAAAATTTCCTAATTTGATCTTATATGCAAAGTTTATAAGTGTAAGATTAATGACAACTTTTAAGATTATTATTATTACTATTTTGTGCATGTGTATGCACGTCTGCATGCAAGAGTGGGCACATGGGTTCCTGTGGAGGCCAGAAGATGGTGTCAGATCTCCTGGATCTGGAATTATAGATGGTTTTGAGCTCCAGAAGTGGGGGCTAGGAACCCGACTCTGGTCCTCCGCAAACATAACAAGCACACTTTAAGTGCTGCCTCATCTCTCCAGCCTTCAGTTAGCATTTCTGCCAGCCTTAACTACAGGTTTCACTGTAGGATATTCTTTTTGGTAAAGAAGTGGGAAATGGGGGAAGAGGTGCGCACAAATGTTTCTAGGCTTGTAAAAGACAGATGTTGATTCCTTTTACTGAGATTAACTTTGCTACTGACTCCATGGTGTAATGTTTAGTGCTCTGAACTTTGACTCCAGAGATTAACTTTGAATTTTACAAATAAATTTACTTACACAACAGTGCTGCCTGGAATGCTTTTCTAAAAAAAAAAAGTTAGAAGAATACCAAGCCCTCTTTCCTTTCTGCCACCGCCATGCCATCCAGACTGAGGAAGACCCGGAAACTCCGGGGCCACGTGAGCCACGGCCATGGCCGCATCGGTAAACACCGCAAGCATCCAGGAGGACGCGGGAACGCTGGAGGCATGCATCATCACAGGATAAACTTCGATAAATATCATCCAGGTTACTTCGGGAAAGTTGGGATGAGGCATTACCACTTAAAGAGGAACCAGAGCTTCTGCCCGACTGTCAACCTGGATAAACTGTGGACGCTGGTCAGTGAGCAGACCCGAGTCAACGCTGCCAAGAACAAGACCGGAGTTGCTCCCATCATTGATGTCGTGCGATCGGGCTACTACAAAGTTCTGGGGAAGGGAAAGCTCCCTAAGCAGCCTGTCATCGTGAAAGCCAAATTTTTCAGCAGAAGAGCTGAAGAGAAGATAAAGGGTGTTGGAGGTGCCTGTGTTCTGGTGGCTTGAAGCCACTCAGGGAGGCCAATTAAATGCTAACACTTTCAAAAAAAAAAAAAAAAAAAAAGAAGAAGAAGAATACCAAGTAGACTTTTAGTGAGTGCTTGCACACACAGCAGTGTGGGTCATTTCTATACAAAGGTACCAGTACTTCTTGGTGTCATGGTTTATGTATTGGACGTCATAGATTTGCATGTTTACAAAGAGAATTTTCCAGCAGATGGCAGTCAAGTGTCTTATTTTAACAAAATAAGATTGTTACAACAATTTATGCCAATGGAAAGAACATGTACTGAGGACTGGTCACCCTCTTCAACTCACACAAAGAATGGACTAATGGTGGCCCTGCTTACTAGCCCGCCGGGTCATGTGCTTTTTCAGCTGCATTTCAACCTCGGAATTGTATGAAGGGAGTATGCTATTGCTGACTTGTCCATGGCCTCGCTCAGAGCATAGAAGTTTGGGGGTTCTCATGCGGATCTTGGTCTCCTTGAAACCGTTGTGTTCCCTTCTACACTACAGTACTTCAGAAGACTACAGCCTCAGAACTTGAAGAGACTTGAAAGACCGTAGCGAGAAAATTGTCTCGGCCTAATGCAGTCAGAGACAAGAAGCCCTGACTCTCAGCCCAGCCTCTGTCCCTGAGGCTGCAGGCTTGCTGCAGTGCTGGAGATATTGAGAACTGAAGAGAACAGAGCCGCAACACTTGTATGGTTGGTTTACACCGTGAACGCAACAGAAATATGTAAAATGGAGAACTCAATGTAATCATTCTCAAGCAGCTGAACATCTTTATATTCAGCATACTTTGAACATTTACCATCGGTAATGTATACATTTTATGCATGGACAAACTAACAGGCTTTGTTTAATGTGTAAGTATTTGTACTAGACCATCTTATGATGGTGCTATATTAATATTCTTGATCCAGCATTCAGTTAAAATTACTAGAGAAATAGTATCATACTAAAAGGAACTCAGAAATGCTTATTTTTATACTTACCCCTAAATTAATTACTGAGGAAATATTTTCCCCTAAACCCATTTAGATAGATAAATCTAAATAGATAGAAAACTCTGTGATCTATAAAACAAAGAAACTACTGTGTCTCTGGGAATCGTATTTAAAATCCTTGAATAACATGGATCCATTTTCCCCAATTTTTTTCTAACTGTTCAAGGCTAAGGAAGGCGTTTGAAGTTCGACTAACTGCTTAATGGATTCTTTCCCGGGTTCTGAGATCTGGAGAGGTTTTGCTTCCTCCTCTCCCTCCCCTTGCCACATCATCACGGGCAGTTACAAAGCTCTATGCTCTTTAAAGCAGCTCCTCTCGTTAGACCAACTGTGTAGCCCCAGGACTAATCAAACACAAGACGATGTGTTCATGCTTTTTACCAACATCCAATTTTAAAACTCAAAAGACGCTGATGCAATTGGCAAATACAAGAGTTATAGACTTGTCACTTTGTCCTGTCAATCTCTGAAAAAGTAACTGCAAATTAAATTTTCTACACGACAAATTTGATGGCCAAATAAGCCCCAACATTTGCTAGCACCTGTCTTAAAGGGATGGTTACAGAAAAGTCTTCATCCTTTCAAGGTCAGTTTCTAAACTTGACTTCTTAGGGATGGCCTTTGGGGTTTGAAGACAGGGTGAATGTTAAGCAGGGCTTCGTTTCTAGCAACAAGCAAACCTTTCATTCTTTAAGAGAAGGTTTTTGTTGAGAAGAAAGGGTTAGAAAATCAGACCCATGTCCTATGAATATGAAGTTGTCAGTTGTTTTCACATGCTGAAGTATGGCTGCTTTGTGTTCAGTGTCTTGTGGCTATTTTGCTCCACCTGGGAAAGTGTGTGTGTGTGTGTGTGTGTTAGAGAACTCCATGAGGGCAGGAAATGGAGCTTTGCTTTATCACAAATCATTGGACTTAAACCCCACTTGCCTAAGCATGAGACTGGAAGACACGACATAACTTTGTCCCTCAGATCTCTCATGATATAGAATGAAAGAGTTACAACATGGCTACCTGCTTCATGATAGGTTGTTTTCATAAGTATCCTAAGAGAAAGACGAAGGCTTATCACCCTTCCTCCCTGACAGACCAGTGCCTAGAACCCTGGCTTCACTATCCCTTTCAGAAAGGTCCTACTCATTTCATCTCTTCCCACACAGGTGGCATAGCTTCAGCTACAAAAACAAGCTGGCCAACTCTATTCCCGAAGCCCTAACAGCGGATATCCCTCATATGTGAGGAATCCGGAAAAAAAAAGTTAAAATTTGAATAAACTGCAGGGACAGCAAGAGAGGGGTTAGTCTGCACTATTAGTACCAACAAAACTCAGGAGTGAAAATACCAGAGAATATCATCAATAACAGACATTATTTTTGCTTTAGCACAAATAAAAGAATTTTTAATGCTATATTTAAAAAGTTTGACTTTGGTTAAAGTGTCTTGTAAAGAAACATTTCATACAGCTGGGTGTGGTGGCATACCCCTTAAAGCCAGTACTTCAAGGGCAGAGGTGAAAGACCTCTCAGAGCTGGAGCCCAGCCTGGTCTACATTGTAAGTTCCAGGACAGCCAGCGATACCTAGTGGACAGACCCTGCCTCAAACAAAACAAAACAAACCAACAAAAGAAACATATCCTAAAATTTCCTAATCACATCTGATCAAATTAGAAGCACCCAGCAGAACAGTATTATTTTATTCTTAGTGTAGTGCTCTGATAGAGATAAAATGACATGTAAAGGGAAGAACTGTGATCGGAAGAAGCGAGGGATCGCACCCTACTATGGAAAGGACTTTATCCTTGCTAAATTCATCATGGTCATCTGAAAAACTGCTGTCACGGTTTTGTTGGTTTGTTTTTGTTTCGGACAGGCTCTTGCTCTGTCACACAGACTAGTCACAAACTTGAAATCCTGACACCATAGCTTCCCCATTGCTGAGACTTTTTCAACACGTGAAAAGTCTAATTAAGAATGATGAAGCCAGTCAGGGGTGACATACACCTTTAATTCTAGAACTTGGAATGCAGAGACAAGCAGATTTCTGTGAGTTCAAGGCCAGCCTGGTCTACAGAGTGAGTTCCAGGACAGAAAGGGCTACACAGAGAAACTCTGTCCTGAAAAACAGAAAGAAAGAAAGAAAGAAAGAAAGAAAGAAAGAAAGAAAGAAAGAAAGAAAGAAAGAAAGGAAGGAAGGAAGGAAGGAAGGAAGGAAGGAAGGAAGGAAGGGGAAGGGAAGGGAAGGGAAGGGAAGGGAAGGGAAGGGAAGGGAAGGGAAGGGAGGGAGGGAGGGAGGGAGGGAGGAAGATGAAAGCTTTAATGTCCTCCAATCGTTAAATGGTTTTTATAGGAAAAACTGGTGGAGAGACAAGAAAAAGAAAGGGAAGCTAAAAGATTGGGAATAAAAATGATGTTTTACTATGCAATGAGTCTAGGAAATTGCTGCAAAGAATAAAATGGGCTATGAAAATATTAGGAAATGAACTCAGGAGTGGGGGTGTCGTTGTCCGTACAGGACTACAAGCTCAGTCCCAGCATACAACCACAAACAGGAAGCCACTAGGTGTTCCACTAGGTGTTCCACTAGGTGTTCCACTAGGTGTTCCACTAGGTGTTCCACTAGGTGTTCCAGCCTGACAGCAGTGAAAACAAGACGGGAAAGTGGTTGCTGGTTATGAAGAGGTTTTCAAATCTGTTTGGTGGTAGAAAATAAGGAATATGGAGGTAAACCCAGGAAAATATCCCATGTAAATGGGTACCTTCATCCTGAGGAGACTAAACAACACAGGAGTTCGAGAAGGAATGATGGATCCAGGTGTTTAGGACTGGACCCACTGTAGCTTCGGGATTCTCTGAATATCCTGTCCCTCTCTGTTCTTCGGGCCTCCGAGAAAGTGCTCTTCTGGGCTCCATCAGCTCCAGGTATGCACAGGATCCACGGACATACACAAACACTCACACATATAATAAGATTAATTAAAAAGAGAAATGTCCTATTAGGCCCAAAAACATAGGCGTAACAACCAAGACTCCTAAATCCAAGCACAAGTTCCTAAGGCCAAGTAGGAAAATTTAAAAAAAAAAAAAAAAAGCAATGCTATTTTTAATGTTTTTTTTTTTTTTTAATCTGCTGGGGCCCCATTACAGCTTCTTAAATGAAATGCATTAAGCCTGAGCCTGCTGCTGTTCTACTCAAATTAGACCTTAAATCCATGAATTTGAGGTGATTTCTGTGAATTCTGAAAATACGTGGGGAAGGGAACCTGGGACAAGGGAATCCTGAAGACCCATTTCCCTTGTACGGGAATCACGACGAGACGTCTCAGAGACAACGGAGAGCTTGCCGACAGAGTGCACGAAAGGGAAGGAACACTTCGCCTAGGGTGAGGAGAAAAGTGTTTCACAATAATAATAAGTTTTCCTGAATGCTTAGGAAACCGGGCAGGTGGCTAGCTGCAGAGCTGCTGCATTAATTCAGAGCACGTAAGCAACCATGCAGCGCACGAGCCCTGCATTTCTGTCACGACTTCCGTCTTCCCATACTCCCCTCCTTATTTTCTGTGTAACTGTCAAGGTCGTCTTCCTTAGCCACCCCCATGGGGAAATAACTAAGGGTTTTCAAACAACACATCTCATTTCTATCTAGTAGTAAGGATGTGTGTTGTACTGTGTTTGTGTGTTTTGTAGAAAAGTAAATACCTTAAAACCTTCATTACCTTTTATGCATATCTCTACCCGTGCAAATGATTATAATTAGTCTTCCACACATTGCAGCTAATAATTTATAAAGTATTACAAAATATAGGAAATATTAAAGGTATTTCACATTGAACAAAACTAAGATTCACTAGTTCAAACATTTCAGAAAGATCTTTAACAGGTGTGCAGACTCTCCTGTGAATCTGAGTTTACAGATATACTTTGTTCAGTTCGTGAGCGGCTGATAGCTGTCCACCCTCTGCAGAAGTGTATCTGAGTATCCAGGAGAATAGTACCTGAAAAAGACAATCTGCTATCAGACATATGGAAATTTTTCATACAGTAGGCACAAGGTGATCTACACAAAGAACTTATTGAAATAACTTCTGGGGCTGGTGAGGTGGCTCACCCAATAAGGGCACTTGTTGGGTCCATCCCTGGATCCCACACAGTAGGAGGAGAGAACCAACCCTACAGGTCTGACCTTCACATGCATGTATTGTGCACATATGTGTGCACACATAAACACATGGAAAATGCTTTGAAATAGATAATCATGGGTGAAACTTCACATATGTTCCTGTGCTGCTTATACATCATGAGAAGAAAGAGAAGCCTCCTCATAATGCATCATATTGTAAGGAGATATTGTCCAAGCACACTCCTTCAATCCAGCGGTAATATCTCAGAGACTTCCTTCTTACCATACCAAGTGAGTGAGGGTACTTCAGGATAATAGCTAATAAGTGTCTTCTGTACGTTAGACCATACAGCCTATGATTGCTAATAAGTTTCTGAATTCCAATTACCTTAGAAATTATGTCTTAAAATACAGCCTGATCGGAAACAGACATAATTCATGTTGAAAACAGTTGAAAAATGATTTATAAATACCCATTATATATAAAATAGAAATTTAACCATCTTCATTGGTTCTGGGACATATATAGTACAATACATTTACATTTCTAGACTTCTCAATTGAGTATCATAAAATATTTAGTATAAAGTCTTAAATATATGAATAGTGTATATAAACAGTGATATACTATGGAAAGAATTTTCATTTACATAAAAAGCTAAATAAAACCTAGTAGGTATTCTAATGTAGAAATGGATTTAAAAATTGTACATGCTTCCACAGTGTATCAGGTTAAGGTGGACAAAGCAGAGGAATATTTTAATAGTGTCTTTGTTCACAATTTAAGTCAAACAGAACACACACTACCTAAGAAGCTCTTTTAATGAATGCTCTTCCTCCTGCACTCACACACGTATACACAGAATTCAAAACTAAAATAAGACAAAATTTTAGCTGGGTGTGGTAGCACACACCTTTACTCCTACCAGGAAGTAATGACACGTGGATCTCTGTGAATTTGAGACCAGTCTAGTCTACATAGAAAGTTCCAGACCAGCCAAGACTACATATTAAGACCTTGATTCTGTCTCAAAAAAAATTATCATCAAAAGATGAAAAAGGCCACCTAATCTAGAAAAATGCATTTGAAACTGGGTTTCTTAGTCTGGCATTGCAGAACTGTGCATTGTCTTCCTCCCGGAGTCTGAGTTAGTGCAGATGTTAAGGCTGGTCCTGCTTTCACTGGCATCTCATAAAGTGTCAGCACCAGACAGGTAGCTTTTATAGAAATGTTAGGAGGCAGGGCTTTAAAATCTTTAAAAAGTGCTGCTTAAAATGATAGGCACTAACTAGTCTGAAGAACACTAGAAATATGGCTACCATGTTTAAGAAACTATATTTTTAAAATTTAACTTCAGAACTGACAAATCAACTATAGGAAAACACAAAAAATGAGTTTGGAATCATTTGTGAGTCTTCTTTTTCCAATGTAAGTTTTATATGATCTGAATTTAACCTAAATATTTCCAATGAGATTTACTACCTGAACTAAGATATGCTAGAAGTAACAAAATATACAAATGTAAAATAACTCACTAATTTTATATTGATTACTAGTTGAAATTATATGGTTTAGATATTTGGGTTGTTTTTTTTTTTAAAATCATCAAAATTTATTTACCATTTCATTTTACTTTCTTAAATGTGACTATCAGAAAACTAGAAATTATAGATGTGGTTCTTACTATATTATTACCGGCCATTGTTATTTTAAGAGTCTCAATAGATCAGTTAGGATGTGCAGATCATTCTTGAGGCTTTGCTAGATTCACTATAAGCTTACTGTTATTGCCATTTTTCCTTCCCAAAGACCTCCGAGGCTTCACTGTCCCTAGGACTCCCCTTCAAGAAAACGTGCTCAAACATACCCACACTCCTTCACCAGCAGAGCGGGGCAGCATTGCCCCCTTCTCATGACTACATACTGACCTCGCAAGTGTCTCAAAATATAGACCCAGAAATAAGCAGATCAAGTTACGTATTTCCTGTGAGAAAGCCTCATCCCAACTACTATAGTGCTAAGGATTCAAAAGCAGCTTCCTATTAGGAAAAACTATATAATTCCGGCTCAGCCATGAAAGGCATTTTAAATATAACAGAATAACTTTATTTTATATTTGCTTGCGAGATGTTTATCATCAAAAAAATAGCAAAAATAAGGAACAAAACACTACTATATAGTATCTGTAATACGATTATAAAATTAAATTTTATTTGCCTAATAAATCTACTTAATCTCAAGAGGAAAAAAATTGAGAATAGAGATACTCCAAAAGGGACAATGAGAAATACTGACTGATGTCATACTAATAAAAGCCCTTTGACGATCATGTCATTTAATTCTAATGTTATGAAATACAGGTAATAATATTTACAAATACAGAAATTCTAGTTTAAAGAATTTAAATAATTGTCTTTAAGGTCACAGAGTAAATAATTAGAACTGAGATAGGCACCTCGGTCTGTCCAGACACGTGACCTGAGCTATCATCAAAGAGCCATAGAAAAAACCAGTGAGAAATTCCTTCATTCCTTCTAGCTATCAGTCACTGCAACTCTAACCTAGCTCGGGTGGCCTTTAATCCCAGGGTAAGCAAATCAACCTTTCTGCAGGCCACAAGGAATTTGGATGACTCTAGTCTTGGTCTTGGGGCTTGGATCTGGTGCCTTACTGGTAAATTGCTGGAACTGTCCCCACAACACATGTGCCCCAAGGCTCCTGTCCTGAGAGTGGGCAGAAATCCAGAAGGCGAGTTCAGAGCATGCCCTGTGGCCAAGGAGTGGAGCAGACCTAGAGCACAGGTCCCTGGGGAGCCTGTCCAGATCGCTTTCCTCCTATAACACCCACTTGTGCTAGAAATTAAAATTAAAATTGGAAGGAACTATGAAATGACTATCAGGCTGATGTTGTCATAAAAATAATTAATTCTAAAACAGTTGTCACCAACTGAGTTTTGAAAAATAGGTACCTGTAAAAATGAAACCATTTTGAAATTATATTTGTCTATTTTCACAGTGCTTTAAAGATGTTCATTAATATGATTTTAGAGCACCTAATGCTTTTTTAAAAACCAGAAAATTGAAAAGTTTGGCTAGCCAAAATCCTCATGAAAATGAGATGTTTTTAAAATGAAATTTCTGCTGGGCATGGTGGTACAGGCCTTTAGTTCCATTACTGCAGCAGAGGCAGGTGGATCTCTGTGAGCTTAAGGCCAGTTTGATTTACAGAGCCAGTTCCAGGAAAGCCAGAGCTACTCAGAGGAATCCTGTCTCAAAAACCAAAATAATAATAATAATAATTGGAACATCAAAGCATAGAATTTAAGGATTTAAATTTTTAAGTATTTTGACAAAGCACCAGATTAAATTCTATGACAGTTTTTTTTTATTTCCACTATTTCTTAGTTAAACTGTACCTAGAAAGGGAAAAAGAATAAATTTTTTTCAAAAAAAAAAAAAAGCAACAGATCATTCTGTTCTGGAGATCTTTAGCTTCCCTTTTGTTTTCTCGATTTTTATTTTATTTTGTTTCTTAAAACACCGAATTGAAAACTATTTTCAGAATTACTTCATTTGGGAGGGGTTGGTGGGGTTTTGTTGTTGTTGTTATGTTTTGTTTAGTGTTGTCTTGCCTTACCTTGTCTTGTCTTGGTTTGGTTTGGTTTGATTTGGTTTTTCAAGACAGGGTTTCTCTGTGTAACAGTCCTAGTTATCCTGGAACTCATTTTGTAGACCAGGCTGGCCTCGAACTCACTGAAATCCACCTGTTTATGCCTCCCAAGTGTTGAGATTAAAGGCGCATGCCAACACCACCTGGCTCATTTTGTGGTTTTACAAGTATTTTGTTATATAGCTTTTTATTATTTATTTGTGTATTTTATATATGCTATGGCATACTACTACTTTGATATCATATACTAATATATTAATAGTTTCAGAACAGGCTTATCGGAATTGTTTTAAGCTCCCATCAGCCTCTCAAGAGTACATAACTTGGACTGGAGAGACAGCCCAAAATCTACATTTTGGCATTGATATAAAAGCTATATTTGAAAACAAAGAACAAAAGTTATGTAATATTGAACTGCTTAAAGTCCATTTCCCTCACCTTACTATCTCCTCTGGGTAGCAGTTGTTAATATTGTTGATGTATTCTTGGAGGAGGGAACCAGGTTCCGCCTTTATCTCTTGGATCTTCTTAAGTCCACCGCTCGTTACAAAAAGCCGGCGAGCTTTGCTGTCATGAGGCAACACCTTAGACGGAGAAACAGATAAAAACATCATCTTTACTTTTCCAAGTTAGGTTGTTTATCTTTAAAAGCAATATTATATCAAAAGTAATGCAGAAGAGAATTTATGTTTAGTATATCACCTATAAAATAAAGGGCTGGAAGTGAAATGCGTTCTTTTCAAATTACTTTAACCTTCATGTTATTGGAGAGAATAAAGCAGTGAAATGAGCAAAGCTGGCTGATCCACTCACGCCGAAAGCGTGAGTCTCCGCTATCGAAAACAGTGAAGCCAAGCTCCTTAGCAAGGCAGGGGGTCCTCTGCCATCATCTCTTAAATGCATCATCTCCAGAACATCAGAGCATGCACGCTGTGTCACCAGCTGTATTTCCCAATGGGGAACGTCCCCTTGCTGCTTAACTCTCTCTCATTGTTTAATACTCGCTCCCATTTTACTTCCTTTAAGGAAATGCAGGTTGGGTATGGTGGCATACACCTGTCTCAGCAGGCAAAGTCCAGAGGATCATGAACTGTGCAGATTATGAACTGGAGATCAACCTAGGCTATACAATGATACCTGTCTTTGAAAAACTAAGGTAGTTTAATGATAAGAATACTTGGCAATCACGCACAAGTCCCTGGGTTTGGTCCTCAGCACCAGACACAGAGATGAGAGATAAAAGGAAGAGGGGAGGGAGAGGAAGGAGGTGGTGGCCTGGTTTACAATAGCACTAAAACTGGCTATCCAACTGAGTTTGTCTTCTTCCATAACTGGGGAAAATTTAGCTGGCTTTAAACATGTGAATGCTTGCTTGCTTGTTAGTTTGTTTATTATTGTGGGTGGGCATGTGTGCCACAAGATGCCTGTGCACCTCAGAGAACAACCCCGTAGAGTTGCTTCTCTCCTCCCGCCTTCACACAGGATCCAGGGACTGAACTCAGGTCAAGCCTGGCTGGCAGAGGCCGGTACTTGCTCACCAGCCCCAATGTGGAGTGCTGTTTTAACGTCTATCAATTTGTGCTGTGGGGTGCTCATGCCATAGCACACTCATGGGAGTCAGAAAATGGGCTCCGGATTACACTCAGATCGTCAGGTTTGCCGGAAGCACCTTTGCCTGCTGAGCCATGACACTGGGCCCAAATGTCCTGTTTCTTAAAAACACAATTTTGTTTATCTGGAGTAAGCACTCTTGCTCCTGTCTTACGTGTAATAATCTCCAGTTTAGAGAGGTCAGAGCTCTCCTGGGGGGGTAGAGCTGTAACATGATTCAGTGGCAGAGCCAACTCCTGTGCGTGGGTGGCCTTCATTGCCTTGCCCAGCTCCAAACATAAAGCAAAAGAGGTAAAGAGACAGAACTGAGCCTAAACACATAAACACTCTGGCGCATGACTTAAGCAAATAACATTTTCTTTCTTTCTTGTTTGTTTGTTTTGTTGGCTTGCTGCTTATTTTTGAGGTGGGTCTTACTTTTTACGCCCGGCTGGTCTGGAAATCTCTGTACAGGTCAGGCTGGCCTCAAATTCCAGACAACCTCCCGCCTCTGCCTCAACCTACATGGTAATAATTTATTTTTTTAATGTGTATGGTGTTTGGTCTGTATTTAATTCTGTGAACCATGTGCGTGTGAAGACCAGAAGAAGCCGTAGATCCTCTGATAATTGAGTTAGAGAAACTTAGGAGTTGCTGTGTGGGTGCTGGGAATCGAAGCCAAGTCCTCTGGAAGAGCAGTCAGTATTCTTAACAACTGAGTCTTCTCTCCAGCCCCTGCAGACCCTATATTTTAATCCAAATATGCTGAGTTCAGTTTCTCCAGTTCCCAATAGCTGAGGGGCACCGTCCTGACTGTCAATGGCCATAACACAGTCATTCTCTTCAGTCCTTGCTGTCAGAATCCGCCTTGGTGGCTGTGTACTTCTGCAGCTTGACCTTTCTATACTGCTATCAATCTGCAATGATCTATGAAATATGACAGTTACATTTGTTTACACTGTTCATAAGAAGAGCTGTGCACCAAATGACTGAGGGTATCTCAGCAGTACAGTGTTTCAAAGACCTTTCTCTTTCTCGTTCTGAAGATGTTTGCTAGTTCCTAGACTAAAAGGGAGACTAAGGGACACAGGAAATTACTAAAAGGTAAGTTTCAGCAGAAATCATCTATATTATAAAGATTGAATGCGTTGGCATAATACCGCCTTTTATACTGTTTAAGAAGACACCACAGAGCTTGAGAACTGCATGAAGAAGGATGGAGAATTTCATTTACCTGTGAGTTTTAGTAACCTATGTTACCCTTTGCCAATTGAGATTGAGGAGAGTTGAGACCTACATAGTAAAACCCAGGCCAAATTTTATAGAAGCAGAAAAACAATTTCACAAATCATTTCCTTTTCTTCCCCATTTCCAGGCTGTGATAGCATTTCTTACCTTGCTGAACTGTCCGGCCACATACTTCAGGATATTGGGAGGTGCATCGTAGAGAAACGGCTCGAGGGCTGGGAGGTAGGTGCATTTCTGGATGATATTCTTTATGGCCCTTTTACTCTAGTGAAATACAAAGCAGAATGCATACAAAGCTTGGCAATTCATGTCTCATATTCCTGAATTTTGAAAATGAAATCAGTTTCTTGCAGTTGTTTCATTTGTAAAGAGTTTTCTGAAGACCTTCACAGCTGAGACATCTCCTCAGCTATGTTTTAAGTCAGATGTGCAGGGTACAGTTTCCCAAGTTCCCAAGAGCTGAGGAACTGTTGGGACTGGCGTTTTTGTCACTTTTATCAGTTGTCTTCTGTTAAACTTGAAACCATGCAGTGAGTGGCTGAGCTCTTAAATACATATCACAGCCCGTCAAAATGGTATTGTATTCGGCAGAACTGTTATAATTTTTGTGCTATCAGTGAATGATCTCTTGAATTTTAGGTTTTCTTTAGAGATCCAGACTAAGAAGTCTTACACATCCTCATCTCCTGACACATTTGAACAAAACCATTGCTCCATCTGTTAAACAGTAGTGTGGATTAGGACTAAACTCCCAGCTTCTAACACACCTAATTATACCGTTCCTTTGTAAACCATCTTCAGACCATGATGACCTTAGCAGACCAAGAAATTTAACTTAACCACCATTGCTGACAAGGTTAAAATAGCTGTAATAGCACAGATTATATCAATTGCACCTCTCCGACAGCCCTACCCTAACTCTCATCATTCACGCTGATGATGTACAATCAAGTCATTAGTCAAGAGTTCTAAAAAGCAATCTAATGACCTCAGAAGCTCATGGAACTTTCTATTCTCAGTCTGAAAGATATACACTTGGTTTATAACTATTCTTTTAGGTAGGAATGGATATTTAGATAATCATCAACATAGTATTATTATTAATAATTTCATGTCTAGCATGAAAGAAACATTAGTTAGCTAAGGTTTTGCTTACTTGCCTAATCTGAACTGTAATAATCAACAGACAAAGGACCCAGTTTAAGAATGAGCAGGGCGGGAGATGCAGCTCAGTGGCAGAGGCTTGCCTAACATGTGCAAGGCTCCGAGACTGCTGCCCACCACTACAAAAAATATTTTAATAATAAAATGAGTAAAGGGTCAAAGAATACACAAAAACAGCCAGAGCATATATGAAAATATTTTCAGCACTATGGGCCATTAGGCAAATCAAAAGTACACTTTAGGATAGCTTCAGTAAAAATATAATGAAGGAGCAAAATGCATTCACAAGAATGTGCCAACTTGGAACCTCCTACACTGCTGGTGAAGATAAGGCAGTGCGGTTGTGTAAGAAAATGGTCCAATAACTCTCAAAATCTTAGAGCATTTCCAGCGGCCTAGTGGTTTCACCTATGGAAACAAACCCAAAAGAAATACAGACGTGTGTCCATCTGGAGACAGCCTCAGCAGGAAAAGGTGCATGCTGCTCAAACCCAGCCCAGATGGAAGGAAAGAACCAGCTCCAAAGAACTGGCCTCTGACCTCCACATTCAGCCACAACACACATGTCATGTACACACATACATATGCACACCCATGTAGGGATATTTTGTTTATGATTTAACAAATACAGCAGAGAGATCGGGGAAGCAAATCAGCCAGCCACTAGAGAGATACAAAAGGGGAAACGTAGCGATGTTTTGTTGTGTTTTAACAAATAAAGCTTGCCTAAAGATTAGAGTACAGAGCTAAACTACTAGAGGCCAGGCAGTGGTGGCACACACCTTTAATCCCAGGACTCAGGAGACAGAGGCAGAGGGATCTCTGTTAGTTAAAGGCCACCCTGGGCTACACGAGATTGAATCCCAGCACTTGGGATCCCACACCTGTAATCCCAGCACTAGGGAGGTGGAGAGAGGAGGGATATGACTGGGCAGAGAGAGGAATATAAGGCGGGAGGGGACAGGAGCAGTTGCAGTCTGAGGTTTGGTAGAGACTGTTGCAGCTCAAGGATGTACCCTGAGATACCGTCTGAAGCAGCCTGAGACCAGGATCGCCCCTTTGGTCTCAGCATTGGTGGAGGTAAAAGGTCTCTCTAGTGACTGGCTGCACTGCTTCTCTGATCTCTCAGCTTTATTGTTAAATCATAAACAAAATATCACTACACACATACACATATACATGTACTAAAGAAAATTTTTTAAATTAAAAATATATATCCACATGGAAACATATGGAAATATCTAAGGAGCTGAAACACCCCAGAGTCCATCAACTGGTGAATGGATAAAGAATGGAATATTTATTATCTAGCACTAAAGAGGAACACATGACACAGAAGAATCTTAAAACTCAGGTTAGAACTCACTGGTTAACAGCGGCTGCTCTTCCAGAGGACCCAGGTTTGATTCGCAGCACCCACGGTGGCTCATAATGGCTGGTAATTCCAGCGCTAGGGGATCTGATGCCCTCTTCTGGCCTTCCACAGACACAAGGTACACGTGGTTTACAGAATGCCACACGTTTTAAAAAGCTAACAAAAAACCCCTAAGGCTAGGTAATAAAGACACCAGGCCCAGAAGGACACACATAAGATCTCTTTTAGAAGAAATGTCCAGAAGAGGCAAATCCACAGAGATGGAAAGAAAATTAAAGCTGTCTGGATTCAGGCAGGAGAGATGTGGAGCCATGACTGACAGGCGGGGGAAACCTTTTCAAATCAGTTTGCTGTGATGGGCTCACAGTCCTATAAACACATAGAAACTATTGGCTCTTCTACTATAAATGGGTATATTTCATAAATTATATCTCAATAAAGCTACTAAAAGTGCAATGAGAACTATGACGGCAAGAACATGGAAGCTCTGGGGAATAAACCACCTAGAAGTTTCCTAGCGATTCAAACGCCAGCGTGATGCCTCTGGAGAAGACAGAATAGATGGTCTTACGGCTATCAGACTTTTCACTCTCTGTAAGAGAGTAGAATAGCGAAGGGAGGGCAAACATGACCACATGGGGGAAATTCCAAGAGGCTGCCCATTGGCTCTCCCAGATTAGAACCAACGAGCCAGTGCTTACAGAAGCTGACGTGTTTTGGGGACAGAAAGAACCTTGAGGTGGCTTTATTCTTTGAAAGCTGCCACAGAGAAACAAATGAGAAAGGCCACTCGCCAGTTTCTAATGCTTTTGGATACACATTGCTCACAGTTAGTGTTAAATCGAACAGATTTGATGGCCTTCACTCTATAATAGCTGCTGTGTGCTCCAAGAGACCCCACAGAAGAACAGAAGAGTTGAGGTCCATACAGGAAGAAGCTATTCAGATGAACTTCAAGTTTTGGGAAGGTTTTGTTGCCAGGGAGATTATTAAAGGTTTGTTTTTACATTTAATGCCTAGTGTATTTCCTGAAAGTAAATACTGTATCAAGAGAAACTTCATATCTCTTAGTTAACTATAAAACCTTCTTTGACAAATTTAAACAAAATAAAGATATCTTGCTACGGGAGCTCCTTCCACTCCTTCTGCCAATAGCTCTCTTAAAGAGAGAGCACAACCTTTAAAGTAATGGCTTTCTACATGAATATTTATACAATATACTGTCACAGTAGCTCATTTAAAACAATTATGGGATGAGCAGGGGAGATAGTTTAGTGATTGAGAGCTTACATCCTGACATGTCCAGCTCTGGGCTTAATCCCCAGTACCACTTACAAGTATACAAAAAGTATACAAGGCTACCCAAGGACTATCTTGCCAGGGTTTCTTGAGCTACACTTACCAGTGATTACATTCACCTGAAGAGATCTAAACTGCATATGGAGCTGGGATTTCTCACCAGAAAGTCAAAGAATCAGGCACCCCTTTAACTGGAGAAGACCCTGTTCATCTCTGTCAGTCAGCTATTGCTAACTTGTTACATTACCTCAATGCTAGAGTCACATGAGGGGAGCCCTAGAGCTATGTAAACTGTTGCTTTTTGGGTTGGATTTTGGGAGGGTTGTGGTAGTTTGAATGCAACTGCCCCCCCAAAGCTCACAGGGAGTAACTATTAGGAGGTGTGGCTTTATTGGAGTAGGTATGGCCTTGTGGGAGAAAGTGTGTCCCTGTGGGGGTGGGCTTTGAGGTCTCCTTTGCTTAAGTCATGCCCAATATCTCAGTTCACTTCCTGTTGCCTTCAAATTAAGATGTAGAACTCTCAGCTCCTTCTCCAGGACCATGTCTGCCAGCATGACACCATGTCCTGCCATGATGATAATGGACTAAATAAACCTCTGAACTGTAAGCCACACAATTAAATGGTTTCCTTTATAAGAGTTCCATGGTCATGGTGTCTCTTCACAGCAATAGAAACCCTAACTAAAATAGGGTTTGTTTTGTTTGGTATGGGGGGGTTGTTTGTTTGTTTGTTTTCTAAGACCGTTTCTCTGTGTAGCCCTGGTTGTCTTGGAACTTACTATGTAGACCAGTGTAGTCTTGAACTCCCAGAAATATGACTGCCTGTGCCTCCTGAGTGCTGGGATAAAAGGCACAAACCACTCAGCCCAGCTGTAAGACGTTAATTTGGTTTTGTTGTTGTTTTGTTTTGTTATTGTTTTTTGGGACAGGTTTTTTCTGTGTAACAGCACTGACTGTCCTGGAGCTCACTTTGAGACCAGGCTGGTCTCGAACTCACAGAGATCCACTGCCTCTGCCTCCCAGGTGCTGGGATTAAAGGCGTGCACAGCCATTGCCTGGCATAAACCATTTTTTTGATCTGGAAAATCTTACAACTACTAAGAAAAATCTTACTCTTGGAAATCAGTTTATAGAAACTTAGCATGTAAGAACACATAAAGAAACTCACGTCCATGAAGCTTAGGGACTTCCTACCTTGTCAGCCAAGTTACAGTCAGTGAATATGATTCACTATTCATTCATTTACCATCTTAGTAAATTTGTATGCACTTTACTATTAATTTTATTTGGGGTTTTAATTACATTTGTTTATTTATTTTCTGTGGAATGTGAGTTGTGCCTGCAGCAGTGTTAGATAGGGCTCAGTGGGTGATGTGGCCAAGTCAGTCTGCTCTGCCATGTGAGTCCCGGGGATTAAGTCAAGTCAGGAGGGTTCACAGTGACCGCCTTTACTCACTGAGCCATCGGCTGCCATGTTCACTTTGTTCTGAATTACTGTCTTTGCGGTAAACTTCCCCCATCAGCTCAAAGACCTTCATATTTTCCTAATATGTATGCTATAAAATATCCTTTCTTTAAAATGATAAAATTACTAAATAGTTCATCCTACTTTCTGTGCGTGTTCCATCAATCACCCTGACGGTCAGTAATAATTTTCTTAGAAATTTGCCTTTTAAAAATGCATGATTCAAAATTTTAGTTTAGTGAATCTTATACACATTTTTAAAAGAAACGACACAAAGAATTAAAAGATCAGACATCCTTGAAGTTAGGAGGAGCAAATTATAGCTTCAAGAATATTCCCTTACTGGTTATATCTTTGAAAAGCAACTTAAATTATTTTTGAGTTTGTTTCTTAAAGCAAAAGAGATAAAGTATTCCCCAGAGAATCTAAATTCAAAAATTCTGTTATTATTTCATTCCTATTTCATAGAAAATGTCAACAGCAATAAAGAGTGCAAAAACTTGACATTTGCTTTACAACCAAGTTTTTATCTGTACAAAAGTTTCTTGAAAATTTATCCCTAACTGTGGAGATGAGGGGAACCGGTTTTCAAAGACAGGTTACCCATTCTTCTGACAGATTTGCATTTCCTGACTCAGAAAAGCAACACAGTCCACCAGAAAAATCAAAATATTTAAACCACATATTTTAAAGACTAAGTCAGCATCTACGCAATCACCCCAAGCCTGTTCAGAGCAACACTCACTTTGACCTGCAGGTCCTCAGAGCTCTCTGCGGACATGTACAAAGCCAGCAGCACTGGCAACACGTTGGTGATAGCAACGGCCCGCGCGTGCTCCGGAGTGTGTCTCCCAACCTGCCCTAGAGCCCAGGCAGCCGCGGCTTTAATGTGATCTTCAGGTTCCTCTGACAGGCAGGCTGACAGCTGGGGCACACCCTGCAGGGGGATCAAAAGAGCAAGAATTCTAAATCTAGAGCGGGATTAAAGAGTTCTCCATGTCTCTCTGGCATGAGAAGAAATCATTTCAGCCTTGATCTCTCTTTTTTTTTTTTTCCTCCTAAGTGGTTCAATAAATGTGCACATCACAAGGGCGGTCATTTCTTAAGTCAATAAAATGACTAGAACTAAATTGCCTTAATTACCTGTAACAATCCAACTTAAATAAGAATGTTTCTACCAGCTTCTACCCCCCTAATAGAGGGACATTCAAGCAAACAACAGAGATGCCTCAGACCGGGCAAGACCAGATTCCATGGTGATAAACTTAAAATTTATTTTCCTTCGTTTAAAAAGTTAAGACTGAGGATAGCCCTCGGTTCAACCCTCAGCAACATACGCACTCCAACTATAGTAATCTAGAATAAAACTATAGTAATCTAGAATAAAACTATAGTAATCTAGAATAAAATAACTATAACAAACTAAGACTCAAACGAGTGTGAGCAAGAATCTACTCTAAGTGCCTTTTACATGGAATGCCCCACTAATATCGTTCCTGAAGTACACACACTTTTCCAGTAGTCTTGGCCATTTATAATGCAGTTCTGTTACCTTCACCGGCTGACCAGGACAAGGTCGCTTTGGTTACACAAGTGCAAACGTGTACATTTTTCATTTAGACTCTAATTTTGGTTAAGCAATAAAAAGGCCATCAAAAGGCCTCAAAAAATGAGTTTATAGACCTAAGGAAGAATCAATTAAACATATCAAATTTTAATTCCAGATTTTGTAGAGGCATAATTGTAACTAGTTTGAGACAATAGTAATCATTTCAAATTTAGTACTGCAAGAACTGGTATCACACGTTGATGCTGTGTGGCAAAGGCCAAGACCATCACATGTGCCTTCCCCGTGGCCTTTTAATCTGCTTTTCCTTATCTTTTTTCTTTCTTTTTGCCCCTTTTGAATCAGTTTGGTGAAATTTACCATGTTTCCTTATCTGTCCCGTTCAAAGTACAAAACTGGTGTGTCCAAAATACAAAAAGTCAGACCTGCGAAGGATGGAGTAACCTTGTAAAGAGCCCATGTTTGTAGAACACAAGCTTGAGGGAGTGGGGAGTGGAAAGAGGAACAGCAGATGGCCCTCGTAGCCTATCCCATGCTCCCTCTTATTGGCCCCAACAACTGTGAATACTCAGACGAGACCCGGAGCATAAATGTGCCACAAAAGGTAGACATTATTAACTGGTTCCTTCAGAGGACAAGGAGAAAATGCCTCCCTGCTGTGTGCCTTGCTTCAGACACTGGGAGAGACTGGCGGCAGAACTCCGCCAAAGAAGGGGACAGTGTCCTGGCCAGACTCTACAGGATGTAAAGGGTGCTCAGTCAACTGCTGCTGCCCTGCATCATTCTGATGGGGTATCTTCCACAAAGGAGCCCAGGATCAGAACCCAGACACAGACATCCCTAACGACCCCTCCCAAAGCACCGGGACTGCCCTAGCCATTGCTGCAGTCTGGAGTGAAAGAACAAAAGACAGGCAGGAGGAGAGCTCAGTACTGCAGAACTTCGCTGTGGAATAGGCAGAAAGTCGAGATCTAGGGCTCCTTTGTATTCTGAGGATAAGCAAGGGAAGAAAGATTCCCATTTCTGTTTAACAAACAGCAGCAGGTTTTCTACGGCGATAAGAGCCCTACCCCCTAGAGAGCTGCCACACACAGTGTGAGCACATGGTCTTTGAAGGGCTCCTCAGGAAATCCATATCTATATACTAACATATTTTGTGAGCGCCTACTATGGGCCAAGGTTGACTATAGGGTGGATTCATACAAAGCTGTAATTGAGAACATGAAGCAACACAAATACTGCCGTCTGCTGTGTCCTCTGTCTAAATGACTACGCCTGAAGGAGAGATAGCCAGCACCGTCTCCTTATCCAAATGCCAGGAGCAGGAGGAATACACAGGCCTTCATGAGGTGCATGGAAGTGATAAATAGGCAAATCACTTCATGATGTTTTTACTATAGTGTGCTTTTGCATGTGTGCACAATTAATCCTTCAAGATATGTGTATTATACATAATGTATTATATAAAGACAGATTACAGTGACGCTCCAAAAAGTTGATATTAGATACGGAAAACTGTACATTCCCTGTAACTCACACCTTTTGTCAAAGACCCCCCCTGGAAAACAAACCAATGAACACGGACATTAGCAGTGAACAACTGAACACATTTAGGCAATTCTTTCACTATGTCCAGTTACGTTTCCTGTTTGGTGGCAGCCTATGGCTGACTCGGACCGTCCTACCACAATGTTAGGAGAAAAGAAGCAAGCACCAACCTTGGAGATGATCACTGCCATGGCCAGGTTCTCGGAGTGAGCGGCCACGTACCCGAGCATCATGATGCCGGGCAGCCGGATGTTCCCTCTGCAGGACTCCAGGCAGTCGATCACTGCAGCCACACCTCCTGCATTAACGATCAGCTGGGAAAGCTGAAAGAGAAAAAAAGGCCCCGGGCAGCACAAGATGGTCTTTAAATAGGATTTGGCCACACTTGATGTAGGACTTAAAAATACCTGGTAAAAATCGAAATACTGTTCAAAGAGATTACTGCGTTTATTAGAGAAATGTTCAAGTATCATAATCCTGCGACTTCAAATGTTCAAGTATAATAATCCTGTGACTTCAAATGTTCAGATATTCATAGTGGAAAGGTTTATTCTATGGTTTAAAAAATTACATAACTTTATTCCTGTTGTAATGAATTTCAAAAATCCTCACTTAGAAACTAGGCTGAGGGCTAATTCATAACTGGCTAGCTACACAAGTGCCCAATCATGATGCCTTCGTTTAAAGATGAATCAATGCCCAAAGACATCAGACTTAACATCTGATCTAATTTTACCCCACACACCAACAGTGATTACTATCTGGGTGCACTTCGGTTCTTGAAAAATCTCAACTACATAGAAGCGCTGGATAAAATAAAAATAAGGGCGTCAACATGCAATAAAGTGAAAATAGATTAGTCAAAATAGGCACAGAAAAAGTCACCTCAACCTCAAAATCGACACAGGCTTGCTTTGCCTCTCTTTCTTTCACATCAAAAAGCTCAGAGCAGAAAATCATATTACAGCAGCTAGCTATCAGAGAGTCACAGTAGGCCAGAGAGCCTCTGTGGTCTGTCCCAACCTACAGATGCAGTATCGTTCTCAATGCTCCCAGCTGTCATAAAATGATAAGGATGACAAGGGTTCATAGTCCCCACAACCCAGAAATGGAAAGCTATCAGTGATTAGAAACTGACTTTCAGACTCGAATGTCATTAATACAATTCAGTGGTTCTCAAATGGAGGTGATTTTGCACCCTAGAGAATGTCTGACAATGTGTGGAGTCAGTTTTCATTGCCACTGCTGGGGGGCGGGGACAACAGTGATGCCATCAAGTGGGCAGAGCCCAGGAACACTGGTGAGCATCCGCCCTACCAAGTACAGACTGTCACATCCTCCAAAACGTCTGCAAGCAGAGGACGAGGAGCAACGACCCAGTCAGATGGCGCGGAGCAAGCCTCAGGACAAATAAAACAATTTAGGGTCTTATTTAAAAAATTGACACCAAGTATAACTGTTCCGTGGAGACTGCTTTTTTGTTTTGTTTGCTTTACCTCGGGTGTGTGCTTAGCGATCTCTCTAATTAAAGTACAAGCATTTTTCTTCACGTATTCATCTTTGTCCTTCAGACAGGTGAGAACAACCGGGAAAATCTCGGCTTCAACAACCATCTCTGCTAGGTCCACAGAGTGCTTTGCAATGTGGCTGAGAGCTGAAAGGACCTGGTGCTGGTGAGCAGAAAAATATAAGTAAATCAAAACACCATAGAGAGTCCACCTCGGAGCTCAGGTGTAACTAAACAGCTTGATAATATCCATATTTCTTTATGAGGAAAAAAGAGCTACATAGGTACTTAGCACAATCTAAGATTTCTGAGCACTGGGACTTTCACATATTAGTCACAGACTTAAATTTTTAGATTTCCCCATTAATTCTCTATGGAGTACTTTAAAACCTTTACCAGTGATTAAAATGTAGGACGTTCAGGTGTTTAAAAAAATCACTTCTTAATTACACCGTACATAGGTTGCTAATTTATGGTATGTGTGGTATGTATTACAATAACAAGCAGAATTAATGTCTTTATCACATGATGTTGGTACAATCTCAAAGAACTTCTCATCACTTAGCTAATGTTAACAATTAATATATATATATATATTTGTATATATATTGTATATATATTTGTATAGATGCATATATATTTGTATAATTGGTGGATTTAAAAAGCTAACAGAGGACTAATAAACATGAAAATTTCATAGGAAATTCAGATATTCTAGTGATGGACTAGAAAATCTTTATGGTCTTGTTTTCAGTCTAAGACGCTCCTAACTGAGCTATTTTGGCCAGGCCAATGCCTTATTTAAATTATTAATGTTAGCATTAATTTTACTTGGAATCTTCAATATTGCACACAAATTTCCAAATAACACCTTAAATGTGACACCCAAAGCATTATTTCCACGTGCTAAAGGACCCAATACACAATATATTTGTATCTGCTTTCAGCTGTATTTGTTAATTGTTCTTCTCTGTAACATTAGTCTGTACACAGCGTCATTTTCTTGGATTGTAAGAGCGCTGGCTTGTCTGTTGTCTCTTGACCTCAGTTCTAAATACCTTCAATTTTTCATCAGGGTTGAGGATCATCTGGGCTAAGTGAGCAATAGCTCCTACGTCCACCACCGTCTGTGCTAACTCTGGAGAATGCTTTGAAATATCGCTGAGGGCCGAGGCAGCAATCCTTTTCAAAGCAATTTCTGGCTCCTGGATACAGAGCACTAAAAGAGGAACGGCTCCCGCATCCACCACAGCTTGTGACAGTTCTGTGGGTCCAAGAAAAGGAATTAAGTGAGTATGGGTGACTGACCCTTGTGCAAGCCATCTTTCACCCTGACAGATACAGCAAAGGAAAAAGGGGAGGGTGTACTTCACTCTCTCGCCATCTGCATTTCAAATCAGCCTTTCTGGTTTCATAAACCATGTGGACCAATCCCGAGCTGAAAAGAACACAGGTCAATAGATGGGCCTCCATTTACATGAACACATTTGAGGTAGATTAGGCTGAAATGGCTTGTTATCCTTTTTTTTTTTTTTAAGAGAGTAAGCAGATGTCAGCTGTTTAAGCTCTGGCAATTCTGCACTTCTCAATAGGCCAGCATTTTATGCATGGTTTACAATAACAGAGAAAATTAAAGTACCAAAAATTTACCAACCACACTAATTAGGTAGTATTTTGTTCTATTTACATGAGTAAACATTAGCATGAATCATGGACCAATAATGTCGATTTTTAAATTCCTTTCATCTTCTAATACTTCAAAAAGATTTTAAAAAAATATTTTATACAAAATAAAAGACTTTCTTTTCATTGTATGCTAAAATACTTTCAAAAATGAGGTTTAAAACTTATCAACATACTTTTACATACAATTATTACTATCTAGGTAAGGGAATAAATTGATATTTATTATGTTATACAAGGAGCATACAAATATCTTTTGAATATATGTGTTGATTTACTCACATGTCCAAGAATAGCAGCTATAAAATAATAATTTTACATTTCAGAGAATGAGAGATGTTGGGGCAGATGCTTACAGGGCAGATGCGACAAATGCCATTTCAGAAGCAGGAAGCTGCCCAGGAACTCATTCTGCTCCTGATGCATTTGTAGCCTCAAGGAGTCACACCCACCATTTCTCACATCTCTCTAGAGCCTTTTCCATAAATGTCTCCATTATCAAGCCAAAGTAGCTATTTACCATGTCACTTTAGTCTTTAATTTGAAGAAAATATTTAATTTTTCAAAAGATTAGAAATTAATGTTATCAAATACAGGTTGGTGTGTATAATTTGTTTTCCTTAAACTACCATAATTATCTTAAAAGTCACAATAATGTATAAACATTTTATTCATTCTTTCATCAAACAAGTATTAATGGGAGGTTATCATCTGAATTCTGGGGCCTGTAACACACTTCTACAAATTAACACTACATTCATTAAAAAATGTTTTGATTTAAAAAAAAATCTGGTATGTAATATGACATACATGTGAAGTTTATACACCATCTCAAAAACCAGGGGAAGGAAGAGGAATCTTTTTTTAACAAACATAATATCAGAAAGACTTGGGTGTCACACAGCAATGTAACAGGTCCCTCGGGAATATCTGCTGATCGGTCCACCAGAAGATGAACAGGACAGCAGGCTCAGGAGGCAATCCCTGTTCTCTCCCACACCCCACCCACTCAAGGGAAATAGAAGAGAATATATATATGACAGTGTGTGTCGTTTCTAAATACAACACTCAAATTTCCTGTTAATTAACAGGTTCCTGTGAGATTCAAACCAATCCAAATTATACAGATATTATATGGTAATATTAATTTTATATGTGCCTATTGGAATACAGTGGGCAAGATGGTAAATCCTGTCAACTTGACACCCAGGAGCAAGCCTTGTGAGGGATTGTGTAGATTACTGTTAGCCTCTGAGAGTATCTGAGAAGGACTGCCGCCTTGATTAATACAAGTGGGAAGCCCTACTTTGATTGTGGACAATATCATTCAGTGAGCAGGGGGACCATGGACTCTGTAAGACTGAGACCACAGACTGAGCACCACCACGGGTGATTTCACTGGTCCTCTCCGCTCTTGACTGTGGGTGTAATGTAAGCAGTTCTCTCAAGCTCTTCCCACTGTGATCTCCCTGCTCTGAGAGGCTAAAACCCGGAATCACGAGCCACACAAACCCTTTCTCCTCACACCGTTTTCCACAGCAGCAGGAAAGAAGCTAAGACAGCGGGCCAAACACTTCTCTAAAGACAGTGGAAAGATTAACTGCTTCTGTGTTTGCCCTCTTCTACAGTTCCTAGGATAAAGAGCACATAATGAACGTCAACTCTTTAAAGGGAATATTAAACCTTCCCCAGATAAATAAATAAGCCATTAACAACAAAAACTTGAGATCCTTTCACAAGACACCTATTTTATAATATGCATATATTTCTCATTGAACGGTTGTTGGAGTAACAAATGCTCGTCAGCTGGGTGCTGAACCGTTAATAAAGCTCGCTGTCCTGAAATGCTACCCAACCACACTATGCCGCTCTGCAACCGCCAGCCCAGGAATGGCACTACCCACCACAGAGTGGGCCCTCCCCATCCAACACTAGTTAAGAGAACGCTCTACCACGGGACCCTCTGGCGGCATTTTCTCAGCTGAGGGCCCTCCTTTCAGGGTAACCCTAGTCCTGTCAAGTTGGTATAAACCCAGCCAGCACAGGACCCTCTCTCAAATCTCAAATCTTGTGAGTCTAACTTAGAAAGAGGCTGTTCTTCCCTGGCAGCTTTCAAGGCTGGAAGATACTCTGAAGGCCACTGGGGGGGGGGGGGATATCAGAGGTCTTCCTTCCCCATCTGTGAAACACTAGGCTACACCCTAAACTCTCGATCTTACTTCGTAATTATGCATTACGTTGTCTGTTTAAACCAAAGTAAGTAAACTCAGTGCCTGTTGGAAAGAAACGAAAATAAATAAAGCCCAAAGAAGGAAGGAAAACAGGACACCTAGAAGCAGTGGAGGAGGGAAAGCCTTTATCTACAGGGACAACGGTTGCTAGCCTTAGCCCTGTGTGGCCCTGCAAGAATATGCTGTCCTCAGACCCTTTCGAAATGTGAAGCTCCTTGCCCTTTAAGTGCTGGCAACTTTCTTTTTTAAAAGAACTCTGTGTGAGACAACATAATACAGGCCAAATAAAACACATCCACCTGGGAGCCCGCTTCAAACTCAACCACCATTTTACAACCTCAGGCTTAACTCTGAGCCTTCTTAAACGACCTGTGCAGGCGCTTTCTTGATATGGAAACATGATGTTCTTTCTACCTTCAGTTCTTAAAGTCAGTTCAGGGCCGCATACAGGAAGGACCACCACAGTGATAGAAGGAAAACGAAAGGCGAAACCAGGCCATGATGAACAACTAACAGCAACAAAGGGGCAGGGCTGATCTAAAACCAGATGTTAACTGACTTTTCTGTGCATAATCAGTACATAGAAAAGACTGGAGCAAAATGAAGTGACTCTGAGAACTCATAAATTAAAGAGGCTCCCCAGAGAGAGAGAGAGAGAGTTTTAGCATGCAAATTCAGCAACTCCTCTGGAAACCTTATTTCTTTAATTTTACTTACTTTTATTTCTAAGCCCTGCAAAATTATATTTCAATCTGTTTCCTTATAAAAATACCAAAAATCGTAATCCAATTCCTTGCACTTAGGTTTCCTATATCTATGTTAAAATCGGCTGGCTGGTTTTTGCTCTAGCCATAAAAATAAAATACCTAGCTATATCACTTCCAAACTTTCATTTATTTGTTTATTTATTTTGAGACAGTCTTGTGTGCCCCAGGCTAGTGGCCTCAAGCTCATCATGTTGTTAAGGAAGACCTTAAATTTCTGATTCTCCTGCTTGGGCCTCAGGAATGCTGGGATTGCAGGTCACTGTACACAGGGCTGGAGTCAGGAATGCTGGGATTGCAGGTCACTGTACACAGGGCTGGAGTCAGGAATGCTGGGATTGCAGGTCACTGTACACAGGGCTGGAGAGTCATACTTTGCGTGTGCTGGGCAAGCACTCTACTAACTAAACTATATCCCCAGCCCGATTAAACCTTTTTTTAAAAAAGCAACATAGAAAATACATTGAGGATGCAATCTTACATTAATAATAATCTGACGTCCCATTCAATCAATTTTTCATAATTAGAAAAACAAGCTGCAGTCCAAAGCTTCAGAATGGCTTTAATACCAGTTCTTCCAAAGCCAAATTAATTTAGTCTTGGTCTAACCCAGCTATTGACCATCGGTGTGGTGGTTATCTACTACTGTGTAATAAATTACACCAAACTTCAAAACCTGAAGCATTTACTCCCTTGTGATCTCCGTTGGTCAGAAATAAGGAAATGGTTTAGTCAAAGGGCTACAATCAAGGGGCCAGCCTGGGCTACATGGTTGCTTCTGTCATCTGAAATCCACTTCCAAGTGTACTCAGGAGGCTTGGGGAAAACCTGCCCTGTCCAGTATGTGGGCTTCCCCGTAGGCCATCCAGGAGGGTGTATTGAAAAGGAGTGATCCAGAACACATGAGCCAACACAAACTCTGCAGTCTGCCATAGCCAAACTTGGACGTTACAAAGCGTCACTTCTATTGGCAGAAGGGACCACACAGGCTGTGCACAGCAGGAAGCAGAAATCACCAGGCTGGCTCCCACGGCAACCTGTTCTTCACCAACACAGCTGAAAGACACAACATCCATAGCCAACAATCCCTCCATTTGGTTATAATTTTGAGCTGGTTGATTGACATCTCAATTTGCAGATAGAAATGAGAAAAGCAGAGAGAGGAAGCTCCCGTGTACTATGAAAAAGTTTCATGTGAATGTTCTTTCTCCTCCCACACACAAAAGTCATTGTCCATCATTCCCGTCTCGCATTCCTCTCCAGTATTTTCATGGTCATTGGTCGAGCCCTCGCAAATGTCTTGAATGATAGTTTAAGGGGTAACTTATATACATACATTTGCTTCCAAGGCAAAACGATTCTGGTGCCTTTGAAAACTCAAGTGAATCAAACAAGCTACTGGTCTACGGACAACCGGGCTTTGGCTAGAAATTACAATCAGCTGATTGGACAGAGCAGGCAGCGCTTACGCAAGCTTCTATTTAGAGAGGCTCAAAACATGATGTGCGTAAGTCAAGAAATGGAGACCAAACAAGAGAAAGCAGAAAACAATGAAACCTGGCTGTGGCCCGAATGACAGCAGGTAG